ATTAAAAATAGTTGAATCGGTGAGAAGAAACTTTCAAAAATTGGTAAATAATTGAATTCTTTTGGAAAATTTTATTAAAATAGTAGATATTGAAAATAATTGGAATGAGGAAAATTTTTGAAAATAATTGTAATTTTGCCAAGATAAAAATTTTTGTTTTATATTTTTAACGTTAGCAACTAAACAAATTTGCTTTTTACTGCAAAATTATTTTTTTATTTTAGAACCTAGAGCCAAGATTGGTCCAAGATGTAAATCAGATATTTTTTTGGTTAAAAAATAGCATTTTGTAGAATCCTGGAGCAAAATTAGTTTAATATTTATATTCAAAGCTAGGGAATAATTTTTACTTTTTCACTCTTGTACCAATCTTGGCAAAAAGAATATTTTTTGATAGAAATTAGTATCTTTTATAATCCTGGAGCAAATTTGGTTCAATATTTATATTTGAAACTATAAGGAATAATTTCTACTTTTACAGTCTTGGGCCAATCTTGGCGATACGAATATTTTTTATAGAATTTGGTGTTTTTTCCAATCCTGGGACAATATCGGTTCAATATTTACATTTGAAACTAAGGAATAATTTCTGCTTTTACAGTCTTGGGCCAATCTTGGCAATACGAATATTTTTTGTAGAACTTGGTGTTTTTTACAATCCTGGGACAAAATCGGTTCAATATTTACATTTGAACCTGAAAAATAGTTTCTACTTTTGCAATCTTTAGCTAACATTGTCATTACAAGTATTCTATTCTGAAATCTAAGGTTTTTTTTTGAATCTTGGTCCAAACTTGGAACAGAATTTAAATTCGAAACCTAGCATAGCTTTTTAGACGTAAAATTGGTTAAATATAGTCAATTGAATCTTGGGCCAATACTGACGATAGTTCACCAAGTTAAAAATCCCTCGTTATCGAAATAATTCCAATCCTGGGCCAATACTGGTTACTTTCTTAAATAAAATAATTCGAAACACGGGCAAATATTGGCAGGGGAAATCCAACGAATATTTATCGCTAAAAAAGGAAATTAATCATTACTAAAAAATAATTCGAAACACGGGCCAATATTGGCAGGGGAAATCGAACGAATATTTATCGCTAAAAGAGGAAATTAATCCCAACTAATTATTTTCAACACTACAAATATATCAGAGGAGGAGAAAAGACCAATAACGTGATTATATCAACTCGAACAAAGTAGCATATCTCAAAAAGTTCTCGAAGGTTTAGGTCAATGACGTGGTTGGATATAAAGGAGGTCGACATCACGAAAGGTCGCTTAAGGCGAGGGGCCGAACGAGGTTATGGATCTTTAAAGTAACGTCGCGGAAAACCATGGGATCCGGATTGACGAAAGGCGGAGTCAAAATGAGAGAGAGAGAGAGAGAAACCCATAGAGATTGATGCGCGAATTATTATGCTGATTCTCACAGAGAAAACGCACTCGAATCTACATACATAATACAATATTACGACGAACATTGAAAATCTCGAGTAAACTTGTCCTCAAGTGTCATTATTGATAGTTTTAACGGTAAACGAGAGTTGAGGCCAAAGAATTTTATTGCCCATCCAATGGGGTAATTTTAGAATTTTTTTTTTTTTTTTTTTTTTTTTGATATACAAGAATAGAAAGATATTTTCTATCTAACGATCATTGATCATAAGGCGCTAACCGATGACTTATGATTAATAAAATATTACACTTTTCTAGGCGAAATATACAGAGAGTGTACAGAGAGACAAATAGAAGAGAGGAAGAAAGGAATATTTTGACATTTATTGCTTCGAGACATATAACGCTCACGCAATGAGTTATTAATTCAGACATTAATGGTGAGAAATTTTTTTTTCACCTTCGCTATTTTGTCATATCTTTTAAAGGAAGGTTTTGGAAAAAAAAACTCTTTTTTGCCCCGTCATCTCGAGATACTGTTATAGGCTTGTTAACTCTAAGTGAATAATCATCATCTATGGAGAAAATATTTCAATAAACCTAGAAAATTTATCACTTGACTGTTTCTTTTTTTTTGCTTTTAGAATTTACCGAGGTTTTTTATAACATTATTATTCAAGTTTTTCTGTATTGCTCTTATTATCGCAGTATTCAAAAAACAATTTTTTTTTGTTTTTCAGTAATAAATTATTTCTAAATTCTATCGAAATTTTTAATTATCACAAATAAGGTGATTAAAAAGTAATTAAAATTTTAATTATGCAGAAAAAAATTAAACTGAATATATAACAATCGGAGTAATTATAAAAATATTAATTGAATTAAAATTTAAATTCAATTGATTTAAGTTAAAATAAATTCAAATTAATTGAATTCAATTCAATTTAATTGAAAATTCATTTAATTAAAATCAAAATTAATCGAATGAAATTGAAAATTTATTCCATTCCAATTAAAATTATTTAAATTGTAATTAAAATTAATTGAATTTAAATTATTACCATAAAAATTAATTGAATTAAAATTAATTCAATTTAAATTATTACAATGAAAATTAATTGAATTGAAATTGATATTAATACTGAACTGAATATAAAAATGGAATTAAAGTTAAAATTAAATTTGAATTGAATATAAAATTAATTGAATTAAAATTAAAATTAATTAAAATTAAAATTATTACGATAAAAATTAATTAAATTGAAATTGAAATTAATTGAATAATTCAAAATTATTTTAATTAAATTAAAATCAAAATTAATGCAATTAATATTAGGAATTTATTTAAAATTAAAATTATTAAAATTAAAATTGATTCGATGAAATTAATTGAATTGAAGTTAAAATTAATTGAATTGAAATTAAAATTAATTCAATTTAAATTATTACGATAAAAATTAATTAAATTGAAATTGAAAGTAATTGAATTGAATTTTAAAATTAATTAAATAATTGAAAATTATATTAATTATATTGAAATCGAAATTAATACATTTAATATTAGAAATTCAATTAAAATTAAAATTATAAAAATTAAAATTGATTCGTTGTAATTAATTGAATTGTAATTAAAATAATTCAATTTAAATTATTACCATAAAAATAAATTGAATTGAAATTGACATTAATTGAATTAAATATAAAATTCATTCAATTTATATTATAACGATAAAAATTAATTGATTCTACATTAAAATAATTTAATTAAAGTTAAAATTAAATATTTTGAATTTAAAATAGTTAAATTAAAATTGATGAAAAGAGAAATTTTTTTCATTTCGTGCGTTTTCACAAATATTTTGTCATCACTTTTTTTTTTTAAATTCAGTTGATCGTGTTTAAATTTTTGCTTCAATTTTAATTCTGAATAATTTCGTCAATTATTTCTCATTCGCGATGAGATTAGTGAAAGTGATAATCTTTTAATATTTGAATAAAATGGAAAGGCAAACTCTTCCTCCCGGAAGAATCTAATATTTAAGGTGAATAAATCGTCAAAGTAATTGAATGTCGCTTAGATTAAAAAAAAATATCAAAAAACTAATAAAAAAGAATAGAAAATAAAATAAATGAAGATAAACAAGAAGAGAAATAAACAAAAAAGTAAAAAAAGCAGTAAGAAAAAATAAAGCAAAAAAAAATTGGAAGTAGCAAAAAAATTGAAAGAAGCAAAAAAATTGAAAGAAGCAAAAAAATTGAAAGAAGTAAAAAAATTGAAAGAAACAAAAAAAAATGAAAAGAAACAAAAGGAAACAAAAAGAAACAAAGGAAAACAAAAAAAGCAAATAACAAAAAAAATAAGAAAGAAAAGGAAAAAAAAATAAAAAGAAAAGAAAACGAAGAGCAAAAAGGAACAAAAAATCGGAACGAAAAATAAAAAAGCAACAGGAAACAAGAAAATAAAAAGAAACAAAAACAAAAAGCAAACAAACTGTAATAAAGTCAAACAATAAATTCTTCGAATTTCAAATACTTTCCAATTCATTGACTCCAAACATTGATTTAAATTCCACTTTATACAGACAATTGCAATGCTATAAAATTACATAAAAAAAAGAACTGTAAAACTTTCGATCTCTTTCCCCCTTATTTTTTTCCAAACTTTTGATTACTATTTCAAAGCAACATAAAATTTAAATCTAAATAAAAAATTTATTTTCAAGTGCAAAATAAATTTTGTTTTCTCTATATATAACGAAAAAAAAATACGTGACAAGATTGATTCACATCTTTATATATATATATAAATAAACTTTCGCTAGAGTAGATTTATTCGTGACAGTAATATTCCAAAGCGATTTTATAGCATTCCATATACATATACATACAATCTTACTTTTATTAATGAAAACAATTTGTTTGTCTCTTCGAAAGATTAGAAAAGCACCCAGTTATTTAATTTACGATAGAAAAAAAACAAGAAAATAACAAGGAAAATAATTGCGCTTAAATTTTCTAATGCAAATTTATCGTACGCAAAAATTATAATCTACTGTCAAATAGTAATAATAAAATAAATTAGTTTCTTCGGTTAGGAGAATAGAAAAAATAAAAGAAAAAAAAAAAAAAAAAAATGACAAAAGACACTTTTGTCAATCGCTATTGGTTATACTAACTATATAGTGTAATAGTAAAAAAGAAAGTTGCCTCGTAATTCATGAGCATGAAATGGCAATGAAAATGAAATAATGAAACGACTAGAGAGTTATATTCGTTGGGTGGAAATTTAGAAGCGTCCCTTGTATGGGAGGCTAAGTACATATATACACATTGGAATAATGAGCACACGTCCTGAAGCGAAGGATCTTTTGGTTCAAGGGCACGGTCATTGTGTATATACACATAAACCATTTCTTTCCCATATGAATCATTTCAAAATGTCTCTTTGCAAATTTTTTTTTTTTTCATTTCTTTTCTTTTCTCTCTATCAAACAGGAATATTATTTCGTGTCGAAGTGGAAAAAGAAAAAAAATTCAATAATAATTATTGAATTATTATTGTCATATTGAAAAAGAAAAAAAAAATTAATTCCACTTACCTCTCGTGCTTGGTCTTCAATACTGCGAAGAACGGCGAGATTTCTGATGGTTGCTCGTCGTGATTCGAATGATGATTCCAATCTCGAGGCGACTGTTCCCACTTCCTCCAATAGTCTCTGCGCTCGCTCCAAAGATAATCTGCAATTTTTTTTGGAAAATTAATTTTTTTTGTTAAATTTGTTTGCAAATTAATTTAAATTACTTTTTTCTTTTATAAAAAATAATTTTTGTTATTTACAAAATTACTGGAAATAAAATTAAAATTACTATAAATAGAATTAAAATTACTGGAAATAAAATTAAAATTAATTAACAGTAATTTAATTACTAACTTTATTGGAAATTTTATTAATTGCTATTTAGAAATTTTATTTCACTGTAAATTCTTTATTCAATTTTTTTATTTATATTTCATTAATTTGCTGTAAGATTTCAATGAATAATAATAGTAACTAATAAAATTAGTAGAATTAATTACCAAGTAATTTAATTTGTTAAATTAAATTTTAATTTATCATAAACAAAATAATTAAAAAATGAATTAAATTACTTACTAAAGTAAATTGAATAAAATAAAATAATAGAATCAATTCAATTCAATAGAAAATAAATTAAAGTAAAGAATTGAAATTAAATAAGAAATTAAATAAAAAATGGAAAAAAAATAAAAAATAAAACAAATTGAAAAAAAAATTTAATAAATTCAATAGTAAAAAATAACTGCAAAGAAATTTAAATTTCAAGAGAAATATTTCCTGAAAATTAAGTGTGAAAATAAGAAAAAATGTAATTAAAAAAAAATTGAATTCTAAATAATTTACCATTTCGATTAAATGAGAAAAATATGCGCACATATTCAAATCTATCACTAAATTCGTCGAAAACGAAAATTAAAAATTTTCTTTCACTATATTTCACTAATTATATATAATTATCATCAAAATTAAAATTTTCAATCACTACTAGTGAACATTCACTTTCTACCAATAATATTTCAAAATCTACAAGTGAAGAAAAAGGAAAAAAAAATTTATAAATTTTCAAACACTAAATTTTTATTCAAAAGAAAAAAACAAACACTTTCTATTCAAAATACTTAAAAAATCATATTTTCACTGTATCACTAAATTTTCCAAAGTACTAATATAAATCATAATAAATTTCTGGGAAATAACTATTTATAAATTTCGGAAGATAAATAATTTTTTTCTGTTTTTTTTTTCAAAAAGAGAGAATTTATTGTGAGACACAGAGAGAAGTTACCTCAACCATGGCAATGGAAAGACTGACAGTGACCTTCAATTTCACAAAGTTCTGCACAATACACGCCAAAAGAAATTTATTTCTGTATTTAAAATTTTCTTATATATATTTATTAACCAATAAAATTCATTTATTAATTTTCCGTAAATATATATTATTTTCTACTGAATCAAAATAATAAGTGATTTCAAAGGTCAAAGTCGAATGGAAAAAAAAATTCAATATTGAGTACCTACCAAAAAAAAATATGGGGGAAATTGTCACACATTGATCGTAAAAGCAAAAAATAAGTAAATATTACTAATTAAATAATAATAATTTAATATTAATTTATACAATGGAAAAATAAATATTAAATACTATTCTGTTATTATTCCTACAAAGAAAATTATAAGAAAAGAGAAAAAAATGGAATAATAAACCAAAAATAAATTTTTTTCGAAAAATTACTAAAATAATTCATTAAAATTAAAAATTGAATATTATTAATTTTTTAAGATTAAAAAACTGAAATTATTAATTTTGTAATACAAAATAATATAGAAATAATAATAATAATAATAATAATAATATTTATTAGTTTCACTATAGTTTTTATTATAATTAAAAATTAAACCTAAGAAATTAATCTCTGGTCAAAACTACAGAAAATCTAAAATAAAAAATTTTAATATTATTATTATTATTATTATTGAAGAGCGATCATAAATATAAAGGAAGGAAAGGTCCTCTATTCTTATTTACATATATCATAAAATGACAATCCATTCTTTAGGGTTAAATGGAACGAGAACTCTCGACTTTTACTTCTTGCCTTTTATATTGAGTCTCTAACAATAAGTACAGTAAAGATTTCTCATTTGTGTTTCGCGAACGACTTTTTAGTTCATCTAAATTCTTTTCTGACGAGAAGAGACAAAGTAAACGATTCACAACTTGAGTTTCCAGGATGTCCTTTTCGAGAAAGTATAACGACTTTGTCGGGTGCTTTTTTTTCATCTCTCAAACACTATGACGACAGTGTATTTCATTATACATGACAATATTAAAAAAAAAGAAAAAAAAAAATTTCAATCTCAATATCATAATGACACCACTAATCATATTATGATTAATGATAATCCAAATGATAACTGTCTTCAATTGTTTTTGATTATAAAAATTATTTAAGAAACTGGACAATAAATAAATGTTTCGTCTTTATTTTACACAAAAATAAAATAAACAATTTGTATTTTTTTATAAAATATAAAATAAACATTTAATATTTTTTATAAAATATAAAATAAACATTTAATATTTTTTTATAAAATATAAAATAAATATTTAAAAATCATAATTATTTCAAATAATTAATTTTTGTTTAAAATAAATTTCCAAATAATGAATTTCGTTTAAAATAAATTTTTAATTAATTAATTTTCAAATAAATATCCAAATAATCAATTTTTTTTACCAAAAAAAAATTTTTTTTCCCTCTCTGCTATTGAATAAAGTAGGATGTTCGAAGAAAAAAAAATCCCCCCTCCTCAAAAAAAAAAGAAGAAACTGGTCGAAAATTAAAATTATTCATCAGAAAAGAAGGTTACGCTTTATGCAAAATGAGAAAAAAAAATAAAAAAGAATTTTAATATTTGGCTCACCTGACGTTGTCCACATGTGATAGTGGAACAGCACGTTCCTCGAGGGAAGTCATCGTCTCATCGGCATCACGGGCTGTTCTTCTCGATGTGGGGTCGGCAAGTAGTCGGCTCAGGGATGTCAGACTTCCGGACAGGTTTGTACATTCCTTGAGTTCAGACATTTCCAGAGCTAACCGTCGTCCTGCAGCCTGCCACTCGGTCATCAGGCTGTCGTACTCCTATGTGTAACATTTAAATCCAGGTCAACAACAAATTCACCCAAAAAAAGAAAGAAAAATAATATATATACAACCAATCATGATCAAAATTTACTCTCAATAATATTTTCACTAAATTTTTTTTTCACAGAAAATTTTTTATTTCACAGAAATAAATAAAATTTATTTCTGTACGAAGAAATAATAAATAATTTATTTGTTTATGAATAAATAATAAAGAATTTATTTATTTATGAATAAATAATAAAGAATTTATTTATTTATGAATAAATAATAAAGAATTATTACTAATTGAACAAATAAATTTTTACTTAGTTGTAAATAAATAAATTATTACTAATTATTGAAAAAATAAATTATTTACCAAACATTAAATAATTTTTTTTATCCAGAAATAATAAATAAATTACTATCAAAAACCGCAATGGACAAATTTCACTTGATCGATTAATTAAAAAATTGAATGCAGCATAAAATGAGATTGTGAGGGAAAAAAGAAGAAGAGGAGGAGGAAGACAGAAATCTGAAATGAAACTGATGAAGGTAGAGAGAAGAGATAATTTTATATCATTAAAATATGGTGTATTGATTGGAATTCGTTTGGACAACTCGCATGTTCCAAACATAAATCATATAAAGCTTGTACATCTCGTTGACTGTCAAATAAGGTTCGATCGTCGACACACGAGACTGGAATGTGGAAGAGACTTACACCTGCCGTCTACCCACTGTCTGTTTTAATACACTCACGTGCGTGTATCACACTTTTCAATTCACTATTATTATAACGCACCAAGAAAAATGTTCAACAAAATTATTTCTATTCCTCTCATTTCTCTACTAAAACTAAATTATTCCATTTCATTAAAATAGCATTTTTTTTAACCATTTCTATTTATTTAACAAAAATTTTTAATTGCTTTCGACTAATTTTGCAAAATTTAACTATTTATTTATTTAACGAAATTTTTATTTGTAACTATTTCTATTTATTCAACACTAATTAAATTTATTTCTATTCATTTATTTAACATTCCTTAAAGAATTCCCTTTATTTCGCAAATTTCTAAATTTTTATCAAGCAAAGTTTTACCAAAAATTCTAGTTATTCAATAAATTAATTACTGGTACTAATTAGAACCTGTAATTAGTGGTACCAAGCATTTATGGTAGCAAAGATTAGAAATAACAAGAATTGCTAGCATTATTAATTAATGGTACCAAAAGGGTACCAACTTAATAAGGGATTATGGAAACAAAGTTTAATAGTACCAAGGATCAATGGTACCAAAGTTAATTGTACCAAAGATCAATGGTACCAACCATTATTTGTACCAAAGATTAGTGGTACCAATCATTAATGGTACCAAAGATTAGTGGTACCAATCATTAATAGAACCAACGATTAATAGTTCCAAAACTTAATGGTACCAAAAATTAGTGGTCTCAAGTATTAATAGTAGCAGTTATTAACTTTATCGAGCATTAATGGTACCAAGAATTAATATTGAAAAAATTTAATAGTACCAAGAATTAATGGTACCAAGGATTAATGGTACAAAGCATTAATGGTATCAAGAATTAATGATACCAAGGATCATTGGTACCAAGCATTAACGGTACCAAGGATCATTAGTACCAAGCATTAATGGTACCAAGGATCATTGGTACCATGCATTAATGGTACCAACGATTATTGGTACCAATCATTAATAGTACCAAAGAACAGTGGTACCAAGGAATAATGGTACCACAGATTAGTGGTACCAAGAATTAATGGTACCAGGGATTAATAATTCCAAAACTTAATGGTACCAAAAATTAGTAATCTTAAGTATTAATAGTAGCAGTTATTAACTATATTGAGCATTAATGGTACTAAGAATTAATGGTAAAAACCATTAATGGTATCAAGAATTAATTATACCAAGGATCATTGGTACCAAGCATTAATGGTACAAAGGATCATTGGTTACAAGCATTAATAGTACCAATAATAATTGGTACCAAGCATTAATAATACCAAGGATCACTGGTACCAAGGGTCATTGGTACCAAGCATTAATAGTACCAATGATTAACAATAACAATTAATGGTACCAAAATCATTTGTACCAATCATTAATGGTACCAAGGATCATTGGTACCAAGCATTAATGATACCAAGAATCACTGGTACCATGGATCATTGGTACCAATCATTAATAGTACCAAGAATTAATGGTACCAGAGGTTAGTAGTAACCAGCATTAGTGGTACCAAAGATTAACAATATCAAAAATTAATGGTACTTAGTATTAATAGTACTAAGTATTAATGATACCAAAATATTAATAGTACGAAATATTGATGGTAACACATATTAATGGTGTTAAATATTAATAGTAGTAAAAATTGTTAGGACCAAATATTAATGGTAACAATTACCAATGGTACTAAATACCGAAAATCAACTCTATTTTCAATCTTGAATTTCTAAAACCTAAATCCTTCGGCAAGAATCTACTATCATTATTTTTTCTAAAAATAACTAACCTATCTAAATTCCCGGCAATAGAAAACGTCGTTTAAATGCAAAATGAGAAGAGAAAAATAAAGACAGAAAAAATACTGTCTAGATCGACAAGAAGGATAAGATTCAAAACAAAATGTAGAAAGAGAAAAAAATTTTTAGAGTTTTTTTCCTTTTTTTTGAGTAAAAGATTGTAGACTTGAACTTGATTCGGAAAACAAAGGAACGGCTCGATTGTTGTACGGAGATTAGATGAAGGGGATTATATTTACCTTGTAAAAGGCTACCCATTGAGCATGACTGTAATTCGTTTCTCGCCTAGGGATGTATTTGTCCAGGGTCGATTGGTCCAGGACGATGGTCTGAAAAAGAGAAAAAAAAGGAAAAATATAGAAAAGAAAATTTAAAAAAATTCAGAAAAGTAGAGATAAAAAACAAAAAGAAACAATGCAAAATAAATAAAAAGGAAAAATAAGCGAATTACATTTCTAGTTCCCTTTCAGTTACAAGAGACGACACATTTAGACGCGACAGGAAATCTAAAGTCGTGAATTAAAATGGCATACACGGAGAGTGACACGCCTATATATGTATACATTCATACAAAATGTATTGTTTGTGTGAATTTAAAAGGGGGAGATATGTTAGAACTCGTGGGGAGAACAAATCGACTTGAATTACCCCGTGTTAAATACCAAATGGGTACTTTATTGCCGTCACAATTGCATTACGTCGAAATGTTTTACAATTGCAAAAAAAGGCCCGAAGCCATAACAAGGAACTCTACTATATAGTCTGATTAAAACAAAAATAGAAAAACAAAAAGGTAATGGTACTTTTGTATTAAACAAAAAAAAACAGAAATGAAACCTTAGCATTGTTCAAGAGTGAAATATTTTTTTCCTCTTACCTTGATTTGACTACGTGGGAAAGGATTGATCGCACCTTCCATTGGTTGCAGAAGGAGGACCTGAGGTACTTTGATTTTGGCCTTTAAACAAAAGAAAAATTTATTTTCACTTTAAGAAATTATTTTTCAATTTTTACTTCTCTTTGTGGTTCAATTTTTACCTGTACTAAAAATAGGGCCCGGTCTAGAAGTTCCACATTTTCATTAAGTTTGCCTAAGAGAAGAATCGTGAAGCCATCTTTTGTTTGGTCGGAGCTGAAATGAAAATAAAATCATTACCCTTTTTTAAAGCAAGTTTAAATTTAGTTATAATTAAAAATTAATTATTTATTGTTGTTAGTTATTATTAACGACAAATATTTTAATATTATTATTATTATTATTTTCTTTTATTATTAACATTAATATTCTTTAATATTTAAAAGATTCTAAATCCCAGAGCAGGAAAAGGATGCGTGCATCTAATAATATATAATATATTGTCGAAGATGCATCTACATTTATATTATAGGAATTCAAAACTAGAACACATAAATCGAATATAATGCAGAATAACACACATACACATACACAAAATATATCTTGAACGATTCCCACGTTTCAGTAGTGGGTTACTATAACTTCTGTCAACTGTGTGTTTATATATAAATGGAGATAAAATCTATATAAGTTGACTTGGCGATGAATCGATGAGATTTGCGATGAGATCTTTAAACAACAACAAAAAGATGAAGAAGAAGAAGAAGAAGAAGAAAAAGGAGGAAAAAAATGTGTAGAATAAACATTGCTGGCATTAGAGTTATGACACGTGGGCGGTTTCACCTATGTGTTCTACGTTTCTCACGCGGCTCCTGTGTCACTACTGAGAGGCCCTCTCACCCCTGCACCTGCAAATCCATAAGTAATCATACTCCAAAACTGATATCCCTCAACGGCGTGTGGAATATTTCACTTCCTACTTTCAAAAACTGTTGTTTTCTTCAATCATTTCTTTTTTCTTCATTTTCTTTTTCATTCTCCATTCATTTTCCTTTCCTTTACGTTTCCCTCTTCTATTTTTTCTCTTCTTTTTCCTTTACTTTTCCCCATTCCTTTATTAACTTTTCCTTTTCATTACCATCTTCTTTTTCTTTCTCCGAATTCTATCGTGGTACCAATAACTAATGGTACCAACGTTTAATGGCACCACAGATTAATGGTAATAGTAGTTAATGATACCAACGACAATGGTACTAATAATTAATGGTACCAATGATCAATGGTACTAATAATTGATGGTACCACAGATTTATGGCAATAGTAGTTAATGATACCAACGACTAATAATTAATACTAATAATTAATTGTACCACAGATGAATGGTACTAATAATTAATGGTACCACAGATTAATGGCACTAACAATTAATGGTACCAATGGATACTAATAATTAATGGTACCATAGATTAATGGTACTAATAATTAATTGTAACAGTAGTTAATGATACCAACGACTAATGGTACTACAGATTAATGGTAATAGTAGTTAATGATACCAACGATTAATGGTACTAATAATTAATGGTACCAATGATCAATGGTACTAATAATTGATGGTACCACAGATTAATGGCAATAGTAGTTAACGATACCAACGACTAATAATTAATACTAATAATTAATTGTACCACAAATGAATGGTACTAATAATTAATGGTACCACACATGAATGGTACTAATAATTAATGGTACCACAGATTAATGGCACTAACAATTAATGGTACCAATGAACACTAATAATTAATGGTACCACAGATTAATGGCACTAACAATTAATGGTACCAATGGATACTAATAATTAATGGTACCACAGATTAATGGTAATAGTAGTTAATTATAGACTCCCCTGATTTCCCCGACCTGTGGCATCCCTGCCATGGTACAAAGAAATTAGTGGTACCGAAACGCAATAGTAATAATAAGAAATGGTACCAAGGATCATTGGTAATAATTGGCATTGATATCAACGAATAATGGTAACTATAATCGATGGCATTAAATATTAATAGTACAATCTTTGTCACTAGAAATTTATGCTACAAAAGAGAAATGGTATCAAAAGTTATAGATAAGAATATTAATGGTAGAAATAATCAGTGGTACCAATCACTTAAAAGTAAAAAAAAATATTGAAACCAAATTTTTTGTAGTGAATAAGTAATAGAAATAAAAAATAGAAACAGAAAATGTTGAAAAAAGGAGATAGAAAATATTAGAAAAATCAGAAATAGAAAATGTTGAAAAAACAGAAATAGATGTTAGAAATAAAAAAAATAGAAATAGAAGATGGTAAAAATAGAAATGCTAAATAAAATGCAAAACCGAAGAAAGCGGTGTTTGAAAAAAGAAAACGAACTTGGAAAATAGAGTCGAATAGAGAATAAAAATGGCAATGTTATTGGTCGTCTAGTATACATAGAAATATATATATATATATACATATAAATAAATACAGTGATAGTTGAGTCAAGAGTGTTTTGTTCAAGTTCATGTGTATACAGTGAGTATATCGCATATGGAAAAGATCCACGTGGTTAGATATATAATTCATGTTCATTATACAAGTGTTGTTACGCCATTGCGTTGGTTATATCGTAGAAACTCATGCATTAAGTAACCTCATTGTAAACCTAGACCTTGCAGTGCCGGTAACATTCGTATCGCAACATCTCCTCGAATACCTTGTTACATTGGATAGTCAGTAGCCTAAGGTACGAATAAGAACTTCCAAGCACCTCTTATAGTCCTCACATTTTCCCTCATACAATTTTTCTTTTCTTTATATTCTCCTCTCTACATTTACCAGCAATAAATGCATTCACCCACCATCCCCTTCTCTCTTTCTTTCTCTCTCTTTCTCTCTTTCAGCTTATCTGATTCCATACAATAAAATCATATAATTTACAATTACCATTTTATCTCACTGGGTCAAAGGTAAATATGCTTCTACGATTGTTTACATCGGTGAATTTATCACGATTTTATTGTTTATTGGTTTTTTTTCTTCTCGATATTTAATATTTAATTAGTGGATTTATTGATGGTGGGGCATTTTTTTAATTGTTCGTACCAGTAATTAATGGTAGAAGGTACCAGGGTACCGATTATTGGTAGAATTGACAATTAATAGTACCAAATAATAATGGTGTCAATTATCACTGGTACCAAATATTAATGTTACTGGTTATGGGCAGAGTTGATAATAAATGGTACCAAAAAAATAATTGTGTCAATTGTCATTGGTAAAAATAATGATAGCAGAAATCGTTGCTACCAGAAGATAAATGATTCTGTTTAGCTTTAGAGTTAATAATAATTAATAGAACCAAGAATATAAGTAGAAATTAGTGTTGGTACCAAGCATTAACGATACCAAGAATTGATGGTACCAAACATTAACAGTACTAAGGATCAATGGTACCACCATTATTGTTATCAAAAATTACTGGTACCAAACATTAAAAGCACCAAGAATCAATGGTACCAAGCATTAATAGTGTCGAGGATGCATGGTACCACACATTATTGTTATCAAGAATCACTGGTACCAAACATTAAAAGCACCAAGAATCATTGGTACCAAACATTAAAAGCACCAAGAATCAATGGTACCAAGCATTAATAGTATGAAAAATTAATGGTACCAGACATTAATATTATGAAAAATTAATGGTACCAATAATTAATATTACAAAAAATAAATGGTAGCAAGGATCATTAGTACAAAGTAATAATGGTACCAAATTATTTAATAGTAGATAATATTAGTGGTGCCAAAGATTAATAGTACCAAAAATTAATGGTACCAAATTTTAATGATACCAAAAATTAATAGTATTAGTGGTACCAATTACCAATGGTACAAAGAATAGCTAGTACCAAATATCCAGGCTAGTAATGATTAATGGTAGCAATTATAAATGTTCCTTAAAATTAATGCTACCAAGAATAAAATAAAAAAGAAGAAAAAATAAAAAATAAAAAAGACCAAAAAATAAAAAAGAAGAAAAAATAAAAAGGAGGAAAAAAAAAAAAAAGTCGAAAAAATAAGAAAAAATAAAAAGGAGGAAAAAAAAAAAAAAGTCGAAAAAATAAGAAAAAATAAAAAGGATGAAAAAATAAAAAAGAAGAAAAAATGAAAAGGATGAAAAATAAAGGCCAAAAATTAAAAACAGAAAAAAATAAGGAAGAGAAAAAAAAATTTGACTCGTGAATAAAGAATGAGTTTACGATTTCACCGCTATTATCCTATAAAGCAAAATTCGCACGCAATGGAGAGAGGATGAGGAGGAAAAAAAAGGAGGGAAACACATTACGAAAGACACACCAAAGTTTATTGGGTGTTATAACTCATCAGAAAATGCGGTCAGGTGCACAACTAGATCAGCGAAAGATCTCCCAAGTGATCCTCTATCGTTGAATCTTCATCGTGACTATGTCTGCACGTTGTCATGATATACGATACATGATGAGGTGCTACGTGAGGCAAAGATATGAACTCGACCGTTACACTCACTGTCCTATAATATTAATTACATTCGCAAAATGCCCTCTCCTTTGAATCAATATTATAGATATCGAGGAGAGATTTTTATATTATAATATTAAATTGTGCAGTCGCTTCGAGCCATATTTGGAACCAACGATTTTTTATAATTTTAATCTTTGGTACCACTAATTCCAGTTACTACTAACCTTTGGCACTATTAATCCTTGACATTATAATTCTACCTACTGTTAATATTTGGTACCATTAATTCCTGGTACCATTAATTTTTTTTTAATATTTAGTATTGGTACCATTTATCATTGATATTGTTTATTTTTCCTGATATTAATATTTGATACCATTTAATTTTGGTACCACTAACTTTTGATACTATTAATCTTTGGTACCACTAAAACTACTTGCTAATAATGTTTGGTACCATTAATAGTAGTAAAAATTAATGGTACCAAGTTTAATGGTACCAAGGATTATTGGTACCAAGGATTATTGGTACCAAGGATTATTGGTACCAAGGATTATTGGTACCAGGTATTAATGGTACCAAGTATTAATGGTACCCAGGATTATTGGTACCAGGTATTAATGGTACCAAGTATTAATGGTACCAGGTATTAATGGTACTAAGTATTAATGGTACCAAGGATTATTGGTACCAAGTATTAATGGTACTAAGTATTAATGGTACCAAGGATTTTTGGTACCAAGTATTAATGGTACCAAGATTAATGGTACCAAGTATTAATGGTACCAGGTATTAATGGTACCAGGTATTAATGGTACTAAGTATTAATGGTACCAAGGATTATTGGTACCAAGTATTAATGGTACTAAGTATTAATGGTACCAAGGATTTTTGGTACCAAGTATTAATGGTACCAAGATTAATGGTACCAAGGATTATTGGTACCAGGTATTAATGGTACCAAGTATTAATGGTACCAGGTATTAATGGTACCAAGATTAATGGTACCAAGGATTATTGGTACCCAGTATTAATATTAAGTAGCATTAGTACTCAGTATTATTAATATTTGGTACCATTAATTAATATTATTAATTTTTTGTATACCATTAGTTTTTAATAGTGTTAATTATTGATAAATTGAATTAAATAACTAAACCCCGAAAAAATACAATAAAACATAAAGATATCATTTGGAGAAATAATAAACAAAGAAAAAAAAGTGACATAAACCAGCTACTAATAGGAAGAAAATTTCTCGCGTTTACTGCAAAGATATGTAGTATACACCAGTGAATGACGATCGTAAAGAAGAGAATTCCAATTCGGTTCGGTATTATTTCTAAATTGGAATTTAATAGCAGCTTGTTAGTATTGACAGCTTCTTTTACTCCACGAAAGACTTAGAGTCTATAAAACATGTATTGAGTGTGTCTTTTTTTCTCTTTTCTTTTAACTATCTAAAAGCATAAGCTGTTCTTTTTTTTACAATATTTTCTTTCTTTTATTTACTGTCTTTAAAGTGGCAAATGCAAATGTAGCATATATATATGTATACGCGAAAAGAAGCTGTGAAAACTAATACAGACATTTTGGCACATTGCTCGTAAATTGTTTTAAAAGCTTTTATTTATGTACTCCATAATTTTGCCTATTAAGTTCTCGCGAGAGCGCGCTCGAGCGCGATTGAATATCAAGAAAGATAAATCAATGGCTATTAATTCGCGCTTTGAAAATATATATATGTATATATGTATACAAAATCAAATGAAGACAGGGAATTTTGCTTGGCATACGAGAGAGCATTTATATACTTTTATGGGCACATTGGAAGTCTAACATCGTTTCTGTTTAGATTTTATGATATCGTTAGGGAGCATATAAAGTGACACGCTGCTAGTCTTATATTTTACTTATTGACAATTTCTTCTAGGCGAATAAGCAACAAAATATTTGCAAATATTAATTCTCTTTTCTTTTTAATTATTAATTTTGTTTTCTTTCTTTGAAAATCAATTCTACTTTTTGCTCTTCATAATAAATTTTGTTTCTTGTTCTTAATAATCAAGAATTAATAAGATCAATCATTAATTGTGTCATTAATTAACGGTATCAATAATTAATGCTATCAAAAGTTAATGGTACCAATAATTAATTGTAAAAATAATTAATGGTACCAACAATTAATTGTAGTAATGATTAATGGTACCAATAATTAATGGTACCAACAATTAATAATACTAATTATTAATGATACCAATAATTATTGGTATCAAAAATTAATGATACCAATAATTATTGGTATCAAAAATTAATGATACTAATAATTAATGGCATCAAAAATTAATTATACCAATATTTAATGGTACCAATAATTAATGGTACCAATATTTAATGGTACCAATAATTAATTGTACCAATATTTAATGGTACCAATAATTAATGGTACCAAAAATTAATTGTACGAATTGTCACTGCTACCAACGATTAAGGGTACCAAGGATTAACAGTAGTAATTATCGACTTCAGCTAAAATTAGTGGTACCAATTATCTCTGCAACTAAAAATTAGTGGTACCAATTGCCTGTGTTACTAAAAATTAATGGTATCAAATACCTGTGATGCAAAAAATTACTGGTACCAACTACCAATTGTACAAAAAATTATCCGCAATAACAATCCAGACTAGCAATTATAAATGGTAGCAATTATTAATGTTATCAAAAATTAATGCTACTAAGAAATAATCGTAGCAAAAATTTACCAAAACAAAAAAAAAAAGATAATAAAAAAGGATAATAAAAAATTTGAAACAAAGATAAAAAAATATTTTTGAAATATTTATGATATAAAGATTAATGGCACCAGTGATTAATGCTACCAATAACAAAAAAGAAATTAATGATAATATTGCTACCAATGATTAATGCTACCAAAGACTAATGCTATCAATTATAAGCGTTAGTGAGGATTAATTGTACCAATAATCGTTGGTAAATCTTCTAATTTTGTTGTCTGACGTGAAGATTGCTTTATAAGCAATTATCGACGCCCACTAATTAGCGTCCCTCTTATAACTTTCTCGAGACATTATATGATCTTTTACTACTCTTTGCAATGCACTCAAGTTAAAATTTACCTTTTTTCCACATTTTATCGTGCGTCTAATATGTGTACATATATACGATTATAGAAAACTCAAAGTTGTATTTCTATTTATATACTTTGTGTACACGTGGAGAAAGTAGAGCTTCCGTGTATATCACATCATTATTTTCGCTTTAACAAACGGACATTAATAGCCGGTATAATAATAAATTATTTATTTATTAATTTGTCCAGAAGAAACAAAAAAAAAATTGCGATAAAAATGGAAAAGAGAAAGAGAAAAATAGGTTTTGTGAAGTGTGCCTTGAAGTGGTAGATTGACTTTAAGTATTCATATCGATATACATTCGTTTATGGTTATAAATTATTTATGTATAATATTTTTTTTCAATTTTATACCCTACTGATAATAATTATGATTCACAGCAACTATGCAAATTCAAGATCCGGTGGCTTTGGATCTATCGTGTTGCATGTTCCGTCGAACTCTAATCATCAGTTCTGCTAAAATTACAGGCAGCCATAATAATCAGCACACTTAAGCAACACTATCCGAAGTGATCCAATGAGGAGAAAAATCGTACACGCTCAATCTTTTATAGAGCACTGAAGTACGTGGCGTTTATCTTTAAGGAATTTTTATTTCTTGAATCACTTCACCAATGCTATTTGGATACATTCTCAAATACATGCATAAATATTTCGAATGATGAAATTATTTTAAAATTAAATTATACAGGTCTGATATTATTAAACTTACATTTAAGAGAAAATTGTTTTTACTAAACAAATGGTACCAAGCATCAATGGTACCAAAGATTAAAAGTATTAATAATAATTAATAGTACAAAAATTTAGTGGTATCGAGTATTAATAGCAGAAAAAATAAATTATATCAATGATAAATGATAATAATTAATATTTTATACAAGAAATTAATTAAAATAATCATTAATAACACCAAGGACCATTGGTACCAAGCATTGAAGATACCAAGAATCACTAGTACCAAGCATTAATGGTACCAAGGATCATTGGTAGCAACCATTAATGGTACCAAGGACCATTGGTACCAAGCATTCATGGTACCAAAGATAATTGGTTCCACACATTAATGGTACCAAGGATCATTGGTACCAATCATTAATAGTTCAAAGGATTATTGGTACCAAGCATTAAAAATACCAAGGATCATTGGTACCAAGCATTAATAATACCAAGGATCATTGGTATCAATCATTAACGATAACAATTAATGATACCAAGTTTAGTGGTACCAAGGATTAATGATAGTAATAGGCAATGGTAACAAAAATTAATGTCCAAAATAAGCAATAGTGTTAAGAATCAATGGAACCACGCATTTCTGATAACAAAAATTAATGGTAGCAACCATTTTCGGTAAAAAAAAATCAATGGTACCAAAGCTTTACGGTAACAATAAGCAATGGTACCAAAAACGTAACAAGAATTGATGGTACCAACGAATAATGGTAATTATAATTTATGGTACCAAGGATTAATGCTACTATTAATGGTAATGCTAGGTATCAATGAATAATGGTAACAATAATCAATGGTACCAAAGATTAATGGTAATAATAAGCAATGGTACCAAGGATTATTGGTAATACTAGCTACCAACGAATAATGGTAACAGTAATCAATAGTGCCAAAGATAAATAATAGGCATGGTATCAATAGAAAAACGCCCAATTATTTTTTGCCATAATTTAAAAATAGTAGAAGAACTTGAAGAAGAATATAGAAAAAAATCCCATTTTTCCAACTCCCCAATATTTATACATATGCACATGAAATATTTTATGGTTTAGAGAGTATGCGAATGCGGTTAAACGAGCGTCGAGGAGGGCGAGTAACGTAATGTCGATGCGGGCGCGCACACACCATACAAAACCATATTTTACGATCCATCTAGGACTTTCGCGAGAGAGAGAGAAGGAAGTCTGAAAATGATCGACCATGTTATACCGTTTCTTCCTTTTGTTGGTTTGCTTCTTTCATCATTTCGTTCTCATTCGCACAATATTTCTTTTTCTTATTCTCATTCTTATTTCTTTCTATTTATTTTGTTGTTGTTGTTGTTGTTTTAGATTTACATGATGTTTTTTTAAGGTTTACATGATTTTTTTTTCTTTCTGTTTGCCTTATTCTTACTGATTTAAAAATGCGCTCTGGTTATATTTGTGTTAATATACAGTAGGAGGAGACGAAGGAAAAAAGAAAAGAAAGAAAAACATCATAAATGGTCAAAAGACGAGACGCCTTTTGTGGTGTACAGTACTTTACGACACTTACCTTGGTAAACGAGTGAGGTAGAGGAGAAAGGACGCCACTTCCCGTGCGGAGAGAGTCTCTGTCCTTTTAACATTACTGTCGAACTCCAGAACTGGTCGCCCTGAAGAATCCGAGTAGCCTGAAATTTAAAAAAATGAGGTAATTTAATTTTCAGGTTATAATATTATTGTGAATTATTTTTTTACAATTTACAATTTTAATAAAACTGAGAATTCATTTGTTTGCCTATTTGTTTACTTATTTGTCTACATGTTTATATGTTTAATTCATTTTCATTTGTTTATTTATTTTATTACTCTTTAATTATTTAAATTGTGTATCTATTTATTTATCTATTTGTTTATTCTTTTATTTATTTGTTTATCTCTTTGTTTTCTTTTATTTGTCTATATATTTATTTGTATTCTTTTATTTACTTTTTTATTTTTTCACTTTTTGTTCTATTTATTTATTCATTTATTTATTTATTCACTTATTTGCACAACTGGAGCAGGCGGAAGAGACAATTTTCGAACGAGAGAAGACACTGTGTTTGAACTAAAATGCATAGAAACTTTGCGCCGTCTAAATATATCTATATAAATAGTCGAACCCTTTATACTGAGAATTTATGATTGGAGTGTATTCAACTATAGTATATTTATATTCAAACACTAGGTTTTCCCATTAAAACGCTGACAATGCCTAAGTATTGTTTAACTCCGGAGAAATATTCTCACCGCGAAGTTGAAACAGCTGGGAAAATCACGTGCGCAAAAGAAGGGAACATGCGTTGATAATACATTGGGTTGCACTCAGATGGCAACGTGTGGGTTTTTGTTGGTACGATAGCCACTGTCTTTGAAAGCCATAATACCTCTAAAAGCGGTATGGAGTTCGCGATGCGTCCTGGAGACAAAGACAGAAAATGTACACATATATAAAATAAAGAGCCACGTGCCGCAACACTGTTCTCAACATTTCTATATAATCATTTCATCTCAAATTCTTTTAAGCATAAATTTTAATTTACATTAATGATTTTATTAGTTTTTACTTATTTACTCGTTCATCTATTTGTTTATCTATTTGTTTATTTATTTATTTATTGATTTAAGAATAACGAAGTTCCTAGGGCTACGAAGCCCTAGTTTATCAATTTGTTTATTTATTCATTAGTCTTTTTGTTTACATATTTGTTTATCTATTTATTTATTTACTGTTTTGTAAGATGGTTTATATATTTGATTATTTATTTATTTGTCTATCTATACATTTATTAGTTCATTAATAAATTTTAATTTAAATAAACAATACTCTGCATTTCTCTTGAAAAAAAATAGATCTATTTATTTATTTTTATCATCTTCGGCATTGAAAGCGATCGTTGACTCTTTAGTAATTTTCTACAGAGAGAGAGATAAAGAGACAGATATGATTGTACATGAAGAAAAAATTGTCATTGATTGTAATTAATACACACGGACTATATATATGCAAGGGGAGAAGAAAAATTAATTGAGGAATGCGATGGCATTTGAAAGTTAAAATAACAAAGTAATGAATTTTTTTTTATTGTTGCTGCTGCTATTATTATTATTATTATTTCAAAAATTCTTATCAAAGTGTCAAGTTTGAAACTGGTCTCTCGAGAGGAATGCTAAACACGTCTTTCGAGATAAGCTTTCAAACGATAAAACACTTGCCGTCTATAAATCTCTCTGCAGTAGAGAAGATTCTATTTCTGTTTTTCTTCGTCCACTGCAAATACTGCCGCGCTTCTAAAGTGGTCAGCTAAATTGCGCTCCAGTTAATCCCTGGTAGCTCTAACTTTAATAATTTCTCAGTAGTGAATTCTATTTTTAATTTCGTTGACGCACTTTAGAAATTTTCGAAAATTGCACTTTTGATCTTCGCACCTCTTTAACTTTTAATTAGCTTAATTGTTAATTCAAGCAGCAGTTGAGTTTTCTGGAGAGTATTTAATTATGATTCTTTTGAAATTTATGGTGCAAATTATAATTAATTCTTTATTTTCATATTTTTGGAATTTTTGTAATCGGTAACTCAATGTGGCAATAGTGGTACCATCAAAATCAGTGGTACCAATATTTACTGGTACCAAAATTAGTGGTACCAATATTTAATGGTACCAAAATTAGTGGTACCAATAGTCAGTGGTACTAATCATTATGGTTACCAACAATCAGTGGTATGAATATTTACTGGTACAAATAATTTGTGGCATCAATAATCACTGGTACCAATAGTCAGTGGTACTAATCGTTATGGTTATCAACAATCAGAGGTACCAATAATTAGTGATACCAACAATCAGTGGTACCAAACATTACTAGTACTAAAATTTGTGGTTCCAAAATTACTGGTAACAAAATTAGTGGTACCAATATTTACTGGTACCAAAATTAGTGGTACCAATATTTAATGGTACCAAAATTAGTGGTACCAATAGTCAGTGGTACTAATTATTATGGTTACCAACAATCAGTGGTACCAAAAATTATTGATATCAACAATTAGTGGTACTAAAAGCTACTAGTACTAAAATTAGTGGTTCCAATAATTACTGGTACCAAATATAAGTTTGCAGCAAGTGGTACCAAGAAATTCGATCATACTAAAAATTAGTAAAACTAATAAATACTGGTACCAACAATCAGTGGTACCAAGCAGAAGTGGAACAAAAATTAGTGGTACCAATAATTACTGATAATTGCTGGTAACATTTCCATTTACCGTTACCACTACTATCGATAATAATCGTCCGTTAATAAAAATACTTTTGTCTTCAACTAAAAATACTAATTAATGTATCCATCTTTCTGATAAATTTAAAGCACGCCATGAGAATGTAAATTTAATTTTTTTCTTCTCTTAATTATTTCAACAATAAAAAAAAATTACCAACCAGTTCCTTCATCTTCCTGGTTGGCAAGTTGTCGTTGTCGTTTCTTGAAGACTTTTCAGCCGATAATCGATCAGTTATGGTAATATATAAGCTTCTGAATCGACTTTTTCGAGAAAAAAAACAGGGGAATCAACTTAAACACGATATTAAAACACGTGCAATTCAATTAGCAATAAGAACGAATATTTCCTGTCCGTTATCGTGTTCGATATCAAAATTTTTCTCTCAATTATGACTTTATTTTATAAAAATTCTAAATGTGATAAATTTTCATTATTTAACACGTTTACTGTAAATTTTGTCATTAGTTTTCTTTTGTACTCTTCCTTAAGATATGAAAAATAATTTTTTATATCAATAAATCAATAATTAAAAGTAAAATCACATTGATAATTACTGGTACCAAGAATTAGTGGTACCAGGAACTGTTGGTAACAATAATTATTGGTATCCCTGATTATTGGTAACAGTACTTATTGGCGCCCAAAATTATTGGTATTACTGAATATTGGTACCAGTAATTATTGGCACCCTAAATTGTTAGTACCAATAATTATTGGTACCAAATGTTAGCGGTACCAATAATTACTGTTATCAACAACCAGTGGTACCAATAATTAATTGTAGCAATTGTTAAGAGTACCAAAAATTAGTGGTACCAATAATTACTGTTACCAAAAATTAGTGGTACCAATAATTACTGTTACCAAAAATTAGTGGTACCAATAATTAGTGGTACCAATAATTACTGTTACCAACATCCAGTGGTGCCAATAATTAATGGTAGCACTTTTTAACAGTACCAAAAATTAGTGGTACCAATAATTACTGTTACCAACAACCAGTGGTACCAATAATATTAATGGTAACAATTGTTAACAGTACCAAAAATTAGTAGTACCAATAATTACTGTTACCAAAAATTAGTGGTACCAACAATATTAATGGTAACAATTGTTAACAGTACCAAAAATTAGTGGTACCAATAATTACTGTTACCAACAACCAGTGGTACCAATAATATTAATGGTAACAATTGTTAACAGTACCAAAAATTAGTGGTACCAATAATTACTGTTACCAACAACCAGTGGTACCAATAATAATTATTACCAACAATCAGTGGTACCAATAATTAATATCAGTAATTGTCAACGGTTCAATAATAAATAAAAGTAACTAAATAAAAAAATTATAAAAAATGAATGAATAGCAAAATAAATAATTTAATTAATTTTTACCAGAAAATAACGATCAGTTAAAAAAGTTATTAAAAAGTTATCTAATAAATTTTTAATTGACTAAATATTAAATTGAAAAAGAAAATCGAAGAAAAAAGTTCATAGAAATTTCCTGAATGAACAACAAGAATGATAGATTAATTTTCTGAATGAGTAAACAAGCAGAAAAAAACAGAAATTTGATTTCAATTAATATGTAAGTGAACGAAAGATATTTGACGATAAAATGCATAATAATGCCTTGAGCATATATAATTACAACTATATAAATGTACAAATATAAACGTAACTCGTGAGAAAGATAGACGATTGGTAGATAGAAACGTCAAATGCGTATGGCCATTTAGCCATTTCATGGGGATTTATCACAATTGTAAAATTGTACGTAATACACATTATCTTTGTATTATGCGCATATAGCATATATAGGTTAGAAAATGCCGTTAATCCTGTGTGTGTGGATTTCTGCGCGATTATATGTTGTGGCTTTTAAAGTCGTAGGTTTTACGAGAATTAATTTTTTCCTTCTTTTTACATTTTTTTTTTTTTTTTTTTTTTATCAAACTTAGAAGAAAAAAAATGGCATTTACAGAGAAATAAATACCAAATAGGAAGTTACGCCTTTTATCACACCAGGGATGTGTATTTATATATATATATTCATCCCATTTAACTGTTGTAATCAAATAAGGCGATAAATTTGCATTTTCATTCGATGATTACATTCATGTTCTTTCACGTTTATTGAGTAATGAAACAAGAAAAATTCTCTTTACGAATATTTATAAGTGCCGAGTTTGATGGCATCTTTTTCTATTTTTATTTATTTAAATTTATAAATTTTATAGTTGTTGCTATTAATATTTTTATTATTATTATTATATGAGAGTGAGAGGGAGGATTTTTATTTTTCTAACAAGTCCGAGTCAAATATGATGGGAACATTTTATATAAAACTAAATTAAAATT